CCAGGCCCAGGCCCAGGCCCAGGCCCAGGCCCAGGCCCAGGCCCAGGCCCAGGCCCAGGCGCAGGGTTTCTCTGCTGGATGCCCTCCGCCAAGGTTGATTGAGCTTCAGGCTTCTGGCCACGAGGCGGCGGCTGAGGCGAAGGGGGGAGGAGCAGACCCTGGAAGTCGCCGGCCTCTCGGCCTGCTAAGAAAGATGGGAGGGGGGGTCGCCTGGGCTATACGGAAGGGATCTCTTCCTATTCTTAGTTCTTTCGGTAAAGTCACGTTGAAGGGAAACAACATCATCATAATAATAATAATAAAATATATATTTCATTATTTTGTTGTTTCCCTTCAACGTGGTGACTTTACCGAAAGAACTGAGAATATGAATTACTAGCAGTCACGAAAGCTTTAGATCAAAAAGGATCTCTTCCTGTTAGATTCTGGGCCTGGTCGACTACAAGCCGCTGGCAGGTTCCCGTCTCGCAGCTTCTTTACCGGAGCCACTTGGACGCCCGGTCGGTGCGGCCCGCTTCGCATTTCAACCCACGTATGGGTGGCGGCAGTCAGCAACCTCGCTGCCAGGGCCACGAGTGGGGGGTTGGTGGATCGCCAGCGCTCGCTGCCGGGGCCGCGCTCCGAGCGTGCCGGCGAGAAGGCGTCGCGGGGAGCTGCGTTGGAAGCTCGAGGCGCCGGGGTTTCGCTTCTCTCTCCCGAGCGTGCGCGCGCTCGCTCAGCCTCCCGGGAAGACGCTGAGGACAGCAGAGGCTACGCGGGACGTGTCCCCGAAGAGGAGCGCCCCACGAAGGAAGAACCCTGCAAAGTGCCGGGTGGTGGGTGCTGCGTTTTCAGCGCCCGGCGAATCCAAACAGACGTAGAAAATTGAGAAAATGATTTTAGCTGCCTCCTCAATTCAGGCCGCCCGCCGGCCCACCCACCCACCCCCGCGCCCGCACCCCAGTGGCAGCTGGATGTACTGAAACCTCCCTTGTCCAAACGCTGCGATGTCCTCCGCTGGAGGTCTCTCGCACCGGACGGTGCCCTCGGCCACGCGGCTCGGCCGAATCTCCCTCGGCACGCCAGGAGGCCCCTCCGCTGCGTGCTCCGGAGCCAAGGAAGATTCCGGCACACCAATACTTGAGGGTGTCTGTGGCTCAACAAATTGTCCCGGGCTTTCTGTGGTGGGGTGGGGTGGGGGGTGGGGGGTCTATTTTCACGAGACTGGTGGTGGCTTTTTTACACAGACAGCAGATTCACACGTGGGGCGGTGCCTTACCCCCGGGCAAATCAGCGCCGTGGATCTTGCGAACTTCTAGGGCCCGCAGGCAAAGGCGGCGGTGTTGAGGGGCCTGGTCAAGGCACGACCCCCGGCCGGGGCGAGTCCGACCGCCTCAATGCCGGGGGCGCCCAAATGTTGACCTCCGCGCCCGGCGCCGAACGGCATCCTTCGCTGGGCTCATTCTTTTTATTTTTCTTCCAACGCGGTGATTCGTCGCGCTTGTGCCCTGGATAACGACGAATTGCTGTGGCGGCGGCGGCGGTGCTGTGGGTGGCGTGGGTGGCGTGGGTGGCGTGGGTGGCGTGGGTGGCGTGGGTGCCGTGGGTGGCCGTGGGTGGCGTGGGTGGCGTGGGTGCCGTGGGTGGCGTGGGTGGCCTGGGTGGCGTGGGTGCCGTGGGTGGCGTGGGTGGCGTGGGTGCCGTGGGTGCCGTGGGTGGCGTGGGTGGCGTGGGTGGCGTGGGTGGCGTGGGTGGGCGAGGGTGGCGTGGGTGTCGTCTGTTACGTTCGCACGCCAGACACGGCTTGTATCGAAATCGGAAGCCGTGCTGTCGCTGCTGACGGCAATGGAAATCGGTTGAAAGATCTGTCTCTACAGAACGAGGCGGGGGGGAAAGGGACGCTGTAAGGTGACAGTGGACGGCTGCTCAGCGGCGGGCGCTGTTCCCCCGGTGTTCAGAGGCCTGCTCAAGGCGCGGCTAGCGGGGGCTGGAGCACGCCACGTGACACACACGCCACGTGACACACACACACACGTGACACACACACACACACGTGACACACACACACACGTGACACACACACACACGTGACACACACACACACACACGTGACACACACACACACGTGACACACACACACACACGTGACACACACACACACACACGTGACACACACACACACGTGACACACACACACACACCACGTGTCGGTGATGTGTAGAGCGTCTTGTTGGAACGCTGGGGAACCGGACAAGCCCCTCTCTGTACCGGCGTGGACGGCACCACCCCCTCACGTTTTAAAGCTTTTCGTGACTGCAAGGATTCATCTTCTTTGGTTCTTTCGGTAAAGTCGCCAAGTAGAATGATAATAAAATAATAAAATAAAACAATACAAAATTCTCACGACGTTTCGGCCACAACACAAGTTGTGGCCGAAACGTCGTGAGAATTTTATTGTGTTATTTTATTATTTTATTATCATTCTACGTGGTAACTTTACCGAAACGTCGTGAGAATTTTATTGTGTTATTTTATTATTTTATTATCATTCTACGTGGTGACTTTACCGAAACGTCGTGAGAATTTTATTGTGTTATTGTATTATTTTATTATCATTCTACGTGACTTTACCGAAACGTCGTGAGAATGTTATTGTTTTATTTTATTATTTTATTCTCCAATCTACGTGGCGACTTTACCGAAAGAACCAAAGAAGAGTCATCCTCCTCGTGTTCACCTTCTGAAGCACTCGCTCGTCACTGTGACGTGCGAGATGACCACCACCACCACAACCACCACCACAACCACCACCATCACCACAACCACCACCACCACCACAACCACCACCACCACCACAACCACCACCACAACCACCACCACCACCATCACCACAACCACCACCACCACAACCACTACCACCACCACAACAAACAGCACCACAACCACCACAACCACCACCACCACAACCACCACAACCACCACCATCACCACAACCAGCACCAACACCACAACCACCACCACAACCAGCACCATCACCACCACAACCACCACCACCACAACCACCACCACAACCACCACCACAACCACAATCCACAACCACCACCACCACCACCACCACAACCACCACAATCACAACCACCACCACCACTACCACAACCACAATCCACAACCACCACCACAACCACCACAACCATAACCACCACAACCACCACCACCACTACCACCACCACGTGACTTTTCTTTCGTGTTGTGCGCGGTGATTTTTAGCGCCGCAGCGCGTGGATTTGTAGCGTTTGTATTTGTGTTGCTGGTGACTTTGTGTATTTGTGTTGCTGGTGACTTTGTGTATTTGTGTTGCTGGTGACTTTGTGTATTTGTGTTGCTGGTGACTTTGTGTATTTGTGTTGCTGGTGACTTTGTGTATTTGTGTTGCTGGTGACTTTGTGTATTTGTGTTCGCTGGTGACTTTGTGTTGTTTGTGTTGCTGGTGACTTTGTTATTTGTGTTGCTGGTGACTTTGTGTGGTGTTTGTGTTGCTGGTGACTTTGTGTTGTTTGTGTTGCTGGTGACTTTGTGTGTTGTTGTTTGTGTTGCTGGTGACTTTGTGTTGTTTGTGTCGCTGGTGACTTTGTGTGTTCTTTGTGTTGCTGGTGACTTTGTGTGTTGTTTGTGTTGCTGGTGACTTTGTGTATTTGTGTAGCTGGTGACTTTGTGTGTGTTTGTGTTGCTGGTGACTTTGTGTGTTGTTATTTGTGTTGCTGGTGACTTTGTGTTGTTTGTGTCGCTGGTGACTTTGTGTTGTTTGTGTTGCTGGTGACTTTGTGTGTTGTGTTTGTGTTGCTGGTGACTTTGTGTATTTGTGTTGCTGGTGACTTTGTTATTTGTGTTGCTGGTGACTTTGTATGTTGTTTGTGTTGCTGGTGACTTTGTGTATTTGTGTTCGCTGGTGACTTTGTGTGTTTGTGTTGCTTGTGACTTTGTGTATTTGTGTTCGCTGGTGACTTTGTGTGTTTGTGTTGCTGGTGACTTTGTGTATTTGTGTTTGCTGGTGACTTTGTTATTTGTGTTGCTGGTGACTTCGTGTGTTGTTCATGTCGAAATCGCCTCCGGTGCCGTTTGCTGCTGGCGGCAAATCAAAAGTTGTTTTAAAAGTCTAAAAAGTATCTCTATCTTTCTCTTTCTCTCTCTCTCGATTTCTCTCTGTGCGTGAAGGAGCGCGAACTCGCTGGTCCACGGCCGTTTGCCTCTGTGCCTGGACGTGGCTCAGCTCCGCTTTCTGGGCGGCGATGCCTCTCGTGGGCTGGGGCCGCTATGACTATGAACCCCTCCACTCATGCTGCACGCTGGACTACTCCCAGGCGGATGGGTGAGTGAGACAGAGAGAGAGAGGGAGGTGGGGAGACGTGGAGAGACGTGGAGAGAACCCCTACACTCAGGCTGCACGCTGGACTACTCCCAGGCGGATGGGTGAGTGAGACAGAAAGAGAGAGAGAGAGGTGGGTGGGGAGAGGTGGAGAGACGTGGAGAGAACCCCTCCACTCATGCTGCACGCTGGACTACTCCCAGGCGGATGGGTGAGTGAGACAGAGAGAGGGGGAGAGGGGGAGATGGAGAGACGTGGAGAGACGTGGAGAGAACCCCTACACTCAGGCTGCACACCGGACTACTCCCAGGCGGATGGGTGAGTGAGACAGAGAGAGAGAGAGGGGAGAGGTGGAGATGGAGAGACGTGGAGAGAACCCCTCCACTCATGCTGCACGCTGGACTACTCCCAGGCGGATGGGTGAGTGAGACAGAGAGAGAGAGAGAGGTAGGTGGGGAGAGATGGAGAGACGTGGAGAGAACCCCTACACTCAGGCTGCACACCGGACTACTCCCAGGCGGATGGGTGAGTGAGACAGAAAGAGAGAGAGAGAGGGAGGTGGGGAGAGGTGGAGATGGAGAGACGTGGAGAGAACCCCTCCACTCATGCTGCACGCTGGACTACTCCCAGGCGGATGGGTGAGTGAGACAGAAAGAGAGAGAGGGGAGAGGTGGAGATGGAGAGACGTGGAGAGAACCCCTACACTCAGGCTGCACAGTGGACTACTCCCAGGCGGATGGGTGAGTGAGACAGAGAGAGAGAGGGGGGGAAAGGGGAGAGGGGGAGATGGAGAGACGTGGAGAGAACCCCTACACTCAGGCTGCACGCTGGACTACTCCCAGGCGGATGGGTGAGTGAGACAGAGAGAGAGAGAGGGGAAAGATGGAGAGACGTGGAGAGAACCCCTACACTCAGGCTGCACACTGGACTACTCCCAGGCGGATGGGTGAGTGAGACAGAGAGAGGGGAGAGGTGGAGATGGAGAGATGTGGAGAGAACCCCTACACTCAGGCTGCACGCTGGACTACTCCCAGGCGGATGGGTGAGTGAGACAGAAAGAGAGAGAGAGAGGTGGGTGGGGAGAGGTGGAGAGACGTGGAGAGAACCCCTACACTCAGGCTGCACACCGGACTACTCCCAGGCGGATGGGTGAGTGAGACAGAGAGAGAGAGAGGGGAGAGGTGGAGAGACGTGGAGAGAACCCCTACACTCATTCTGCACACCGGACTACTCCCAGGCGGATGGGTTAGTGAGACAGAGAGAGAGAGAGGGGAGAGGTGGAGAGACGTGGAGAGAACCCCTACACTCAGGCTGCACACGGGACTACTCCCAGGCGGATGGGTGAGTGAGACAGAGAGAGAGAGAGGGGAGAGGTGGAGAGACGTGGAGAGAACCCCTACACTCATGCTGCACACCGGACTACTCCCAGGCGGATGGGTGAGTGAGACAGAGAGAGAGAGAGGGGAGAGGTGGAGATGGAGAGACGTGGAGAGAAACCCTACACTCAGGCTGCACACCGGACTACTCCCAGGCGGATGTGAGAGTGAGACAGAGAGAGAGAGAGGGGAGAGGTGGAGAGACGTGGAGAGAACCCCTACACTCATTCTGCACACCGGACTACTCCCAGGCGGATGGGTTAGTGAGACAGAGAGAGAGAGAGGGGAGAGGTGGAGAGACGTGAAGAGAACCCCTACACTCATTCTGCACACTCGACTACTCCCAGGCGGATGGGTGAGTGAGACAGAGAGAGAGAGGGGTGGGTAGGGAGTGGGGAGAGATGGAGAGACGTGGAGAGAACCCCTACACTCAGGCTGCACACTGGACTACTCCCAGGCGGATGGGAGAGTGAGACAGAGAGAGAGAGAGGGGAGAGGTGGAGAGACGTGGAGAGAACCCCTACACTCATGCTGCACGCCGGACTACTCCCAGGCGGATGGGTGAGTGAGATAGAGAGAGAGAGAGGGGAGAGGTGGAGATGGAGAGACGTGGAGAGAACCCCTACACTCAGGCTGCACACTGGACTACTCCCAGGCGGATGGGTGAGTGAGACAGAGAGAGAGGAGGGGGGAAAGGGGAGAGGGGGAGATGATGGGAGGGGAGATGGTGGGAGGGGAGATGGTGGGAGGGGAGATGGTGGGAGGGGAGATGGGGGAGAGAGATGGTGAGAGGGAGATGGTGAGAGGGAGATGGTGAGAGGGGAGATGGTGGGAGGGAGAAGGGGGGAGAGGGAGATGGTGAGAGGGAGATGGTGGGAGGGGAGATGGTGAGAGGGAGATGGTGAGAGGGAGATGGTGAGAGGGAGATGGTGAGAGGGAGATGGTGAGAGGGAGATGGTGAGAGGGGAGATGATGAGAGGGAGATGGTGAGAGGGAGATGGTGAGAGGGAGATGGTGAGAGGGAGATGGTGAGAGGGGAGATGGTGGGAGGGAGAAGGGGGGAGAGGGAGATGGTGAGAGGGAGATGGTGAGAGGGAGATGGTGAGAGGGAGATGGTGAGAGGGAGATGTTGAGAGGGGAGATGGTGAGAGGGAGATGGTGAGAGGGAGATGGTGAGAGGGAGATGGTGGGAGGGAGATGGTGAGAGGGAGATGATGAGAGGGAGATGGTGAGAGGGAGATGGTGAGAGGGAGATGGTGAGAGGGAGATGGTGAGAGGGGAGATGATGAGAGGGAGATGGTGAGAGGGAGATGGTGAGAGGGAGATGGTGAGAGGGAGATGGTGGGAGGGGGGAGAGGGAGATGGTGAGAGGGAGATTGTGAGAGGGAGATGGTGAGAGGGAGATGGTGAGAGGGAGATGGTGGGAGGGGGGAGAGGGAGATGGTGAGAGGGAGATGGTGAGAGGGAGATGGTGAGAGGGAGATGGTGAGAGGGAGATGGTGAGAGGGAGATGGTGAGAGGGAGATGGTGAGAGGGAGATGGTGAGAGGGAGATGGTAAGAGGGAGATGGTGAAAGGGAGATGGTGAGAGGGAGATGGTGAGAGGGAGATGGGGAGAGGGAGATGGTGAGAGGGAGATGGTGAGAGGGAGATGGTGAGAGGGAGATGGGGAGAGGGAGATGGTGGGAGGGAGATGGAGAGAGGGAGATGGTGAGAGGGAGATGGTGAGAGGGTGATGGTGAGAGGGAGATGGGAGAGGGAGATGGTGAGAGGGAGATGGTGAGAGGGAGATGGTGAGAGGGAGATGGTGAGAGGGTGAGAGGGAGATGGTGAGAGGGAGATGGTGAGAGGGAGATGGTGAGAGGGGAGATGGTGAGAGGGAGATGGTGAGAGGGAGATGGTGAGAGGGAGATGGTGAGAGGGAGATGGTGAGAGGGAGATGGTGAGAGGGAGATGGTGAGAGGGAGATGGTGGGAGGGAGATGGTGAGAGGGAGATGGTGAGAGGGAGATGGTGAGAGGGAGATGGTGAGAGGGAGATGGTGGGAGGGAGATGGTGAGAGGGAGATGGTGAGAGGGAAATGGTGAGAGGGAGATGGTGAGAGGGAGATGGTGAGAGCGGAGATGGTGAGAGGGAGATGTGGGGGAGATGGTGAGAGGGGAGATGGTGAGAGGGAGATGGTGAGAGGGAGATGGTGAGAGGGAGATGGTGAGAGGGGAGATGGTGAGAGAGAGATGGTGAGAGGGAGATGTGGGGGAGATGGTGAGAGGGAGATGGTGAGAGGGAGATGGTGAGAGGGAGATGGTGGGAGGGGAGATGGTGAGAGGGGAGATGGTGAGAGGGAGATGGTGAGAGGGGAGATGATGCGAGGGAGATTCTGAGAGGGAGATGGTGAGAGGGAGATGGTGAGAGGGGGGAGAGGGAGATGGTGAGAGGGAGATGGTGAGAGGGAGATGTGGGGGAGATGGTGAGAGGGAGATGGTGAGAGGGAGATGGTGAGAGGGAGATGGTGAGAGGGGAGATGGTTGGAGGGAGATGGTGAGAGGGGAGATGATGCGAGGGAGATGCTGAGAGGGAGATGGTGAGAGGGGGGAGAGGGAGATGGTGAGAGGGAGATGGTGAGAGGGAGATGTGGGGGAGATGGTGAGAGGGAGATGGTGAGAGGGAGATGGTGGGAGGGAGATGGTGAGAGGGAGATGGTGAGAGGGGAGATGGTGAGAGGGGGATGGTGAGAGGGAGATGATGGGAGGGGGATGGTGAGAGGGAGATAGTGAGAGGGAGATGGTGAGAGGGGGATGGTGGGAGGGAGATGGTGAGAGGGAGATGGTGAGAGGGGAGATGGTGAGAGGGAGATGGTGAGAGGGAGATGGTGAGAGGGAGATGGTGAGAGGGAAATGGTGAGAGGGAGATGGTGAGAGGGGAGATAGTGAGAGGGGAGATGATGGGAGGGAGATGGTGAGAGGGGAGATGGTGAGAGGGAGATGGTGAGAGGGAGATGGTGAGAGGGGGATGGTGAGAGGGAGATGGTGGGAGGGGGGAGAGGGAGATGGTGAGAAGGAGATGGTGAGAGGGAGATGGTGAGAGGGAGATGGTGAGAGGGGGATGGTGAAAGGGAGATGGTGAGAGGGGAGATGGTGAGAGGGAGATGGTGAGAGGGAGATGGTGAGAGGGAGATGGTGAGAGGGAGATGGTGAGAAGGAGATGGTGGGAGGGGAGATGGTGAGAGGGGAGATGGTGAGAGGGAGATGGTGAGAGGGGAGATGATGCGAGGGAGATGCTGAGAGGGAGATGGTGAGAGGGAGATGGTGAGAGGGGGGGAGAGGGAGATGGTGAGAGGGAGATGGTGAGAGGGAGATGTGGGGGAGATGGTGAGAGGGAGATGGTGAGAGGGAGATGGTGAGAGGGAGATGGTGAGAGGGGAGATGGTGAGAGGGAGATGGTGAGAGGGGAGATGATGCGAGGGAGATGCTGAGAGGGAGATGGTGAGAGGGGGGAGAGGGAGATGGTGAGAGGGAGATGGTGAGAGGGAGATGTGGGGGAGATGGTGAGAGGGAGATGGTGAGAGGGAGATGGTGGGAGGGAGATGGTGAGAGGGAGATGGTGAGAGGGGAGATGGTGAGAGGGGGATGGTGAGAGGGAGATGATGGGAGGGAGATGGTGAGAGGGAGATGGTGAGAGGGAGATGGTGAGAGGGAGATGGTGAGAGGGAGATGGTGAGAGGGGGATGGTGGGAGGGAGATGGTGAGAGGGAGATGGTGAGAGGGGAGATGGTGAGAGGGAGATGGTGAGAGGGAGATGGTGAGAGGGAGATGGTGAGAGGGAGATGGTGGGAGGGGAGATAGTGAGAGGGGAGATGATGGGAGGGAGATGGTGAGAGGGGAGATGGTGAGAGGGAGATGGTGAGAGGGAGATGGTGAGAGGGGGATGGTGAGAGGGAGATGGTGAGAGGGAGATGGTGAGAGGGGGATGGTGAGAGGGAGATGGTGGGAGGGGGGAGAGGGAGATGGTGAGAGGGAGATGGTGAGAGGGAGATGGTGGGAGGGAGATTTTGAGAGGGAGAAGGGGGGAGATGGTGAGAGGGAGATGTGGGAGAGAGGGGGGAGAGACACGGGCAGAGAGGGAGACTGAGAGGAAGAGAGGAACAGGGAAGAAGAGGAAGAGAGAGAGAGAGAGAGTTAGTGATGGTGTCTCGTTGTCTCTCTTTCCCCACGTCCTTATCTCTGTCTATCTGTGTGTGTGTCTGTCTCTATCTGTGTGTGTGTGTCTCTCTATCTGTGTGTGTCTCTCTCTCTATCTGTTTGTCTCTCTCTCTCTCTCTATCTGTGTGTGTGTCTCTCTCTATCTGTGTGTGTGTGTGTCTCTCTCTCTCTATCTGTGTGTCTCTCTCTTTCTCTATCTGTGTGTCTCTCTCTATCTGTGTGTGTCTCTCTCTCTCTATCTGTGTGTGTGTCTCTCTATCTGTGTGTGTCTCTCTCTCTATCTGTGTGTGTCTCTCTATCTGTGTGTGTGTCTGTCTCTATCTGTGTGTGTGTGTCTCTCTATCTGTGTGTGTCTCTCTCTCTATCTGTTTGTCTCTCTCTCTCTATCTGTGTGTGTGTCTCTCTCTATCTGTGTGTGTGTGTCTCTCTCTCTATCTGTGTGTCTCTCTCTCTCTCTCTCTATCTGTGTGTCTCTCTCTATCTGTGTGTGTCTCTCTCTCTCTATCTGTGTGTGTCTCTCTATCTGTGTGTGTCTCTCTCTCTCTATCTGTGTGTGTCTCTCTCTCTATCTGTGTGTGTGTCTCTCTCTATCTGTGTGTGTCTCTCTATCTGTGTGTGTCTCTCTCTCTCTATCTGTGTGTGTGTCTCTCTCTCTCTATCTGTGTGTGTCTCTCTCTCTCTATCTGTGTGTGTGTCTCTCTCTCTCTCTATCTGTGTGTGTCTCTCTCACTATCTGTGTGTCTCTCTCTCTATCTGTGTGTGTCTCTCTATCTGTGTGTGTCTCTCTATCTGTGTGTCTCTCTATCTGTGTGTGTCTCTCTCTCTATCTGTGTGTGTCTCTCTATCTGTGTGTGTGTGTCTCTCTATCTGTGTGTGTGTCTCTCTATCTGTGTGTCTCTCTATCTGTGTGTGTCTCTCTCTCTATCTGTGTGTGTCTCTATCTGTGTGTGTGTCTCTCTCTATCTGTGTGTGTGTCTCTCTATCTGTGTGTCTCTCTATCTGTGTGTGTCTCTCTCTCTATCTGTGTGTGTCTCTCTATCTGTATGTGTGTCTCTCTATCTGTGTGTGTGTCTCTCTATCTGTGTGTGTGTCTCTCTATCTGTGTGTGTCTCTCTATCTGTGTGTGTGTCTCTCTCTCTATCTGTCTCTTTCTATCTGTGTGTCTCTCTATCTGTGTGTGTCTCTCTATCTATCTGTGTGTCTCTCTCTGTGTGTGTCTCTCTATCTGTGTGTGTCTCTCTCTATCTGTGTCTCTCTCTCTATCTGTGTGTGTCTCTCTCTCTATCTGTGTGTCTCTCTCTATCTGTCTCTCTCTATCTGTGTGTATCTCCTCTCTCTCTATCTGTGTGTGTCTCTCTATCTGTGTGTCTCTCTCACTATCTGTGTGTCTCTCTCTCTATATCTGTGTGTGTCTCTCTATCTGTATGTGTCTCTCTATCTGTGTGTGTCTCTCTCTATCTGTCTGTGTCTCTCTCTCTACCTGTGTGTGTCTCTCTATCTGTGTGTGTCTCTCTATCTGTGTGTGTCCCTCTATCTGTCTCTCTCTATCTGTGTGTGTCTATCTATCTGTGTCTCTCTCTCTCTCTATCTGTGTGTGTCTCTCTCTGTGTGTGTGTGTGTCTCTCTATCTGTCTGTCTCTCTATCTGTGTGTGTGTCTCTCTCTCTCTATCTGTGTCTCTCTCTATCTGTGTGTGTGTGTCTCTCTCTATCTGTGTGTGTGTCTCTCTCTCTATCTGTGTCTCTCTATCTGTGTGTGTCTCTCTATCTGTGTGTGTCTCTCTCTATCTGTGTGTGTCTCTCTATCTGTGTATGTCTCTCTATCTGTGTGTGTCTCTCTATCTGTGTGTGTCTCTCTATCTGTGTGTGTCTCTCTCTCTATCTGTCTCTATCTATCTGTGTGTCTCTCTCTCTCTCTAGGAACTTCATCTCGTTTGTACTGCCCATGGCGTTCTTTAACTTCGTGGTGCCCGTCTTCATCATGGTCACCTCGTACAGCGCCGTGGAGCGTAAGTTCAAGAGGACTGGTCACAAGGTGAGACCAGCAGCATCTATCTCCGCCATATTTATCTCTCTCTATCTCTCTCCACGTGTCTCTCTCTCCATATCGCTCTCCCCCCGTATCTCTCCTGCCCCGTGTCTCTCTTGCTTGCAACGTTCGTCATCCAGCTGAGACCAGGGCCACCAGGTTTGAACGGGATCCTAGATTGACCACTCACCACCGGAGTGGAATAATGTCAGGCGCTTCATCTTACAGATGACAAGCCGATAGGTCAGTGGGCAGATCAGCTCCACGGTAGGTCCTGGTGTCACGGGCATGGGCTCGCATCCCGCTGTTCCATCACTACGTAGTCCAGCAGATGTTCTTGCTTGGACCTGGAATGTATCCATGATGCTTTGTGGATGCGCCGATGCCGGAACAGCGAGTTGGTAGTTGAAAGCCCATGGGCTGCAGAAAAATCTAGCAGCCTCCTACCGTTGTTATTGAGCTCATCTGGCCCATGCCTTCCAATCACTCCAGACCAGGTGCCAGCATCATGACCAACTCGGGCATTGAAGTCACCCAACAAGATGACTCTATCCCGAGGGGCCACTTTAGCCAGCACCTGTGACACGTGGTCATAGAAGGCATCTGACTCATCGGCCTTGCCTGCATCCCTCCACGGATGTTCATCTTCGGTGGGGGCATAAGCAACCACGACCACCACCACCACCACCACCATTCCACGCCTCTTGTTGATGGGGAGGCGAGCCTACAGTAACCTGGGTCTTGCAGCTTCACTGCCAAAGCACCCGCGCCCCCTTCATTCGCTTTGTTCAGAAAAAAATAAAAAGTAACAGCCGCTCCCTCAATGCCTGCCAGTCTCCTGCCTTCTTGAGTGGACTGCCTTTCGACGGACACCTCCTGAATTCCACGGAGATCCGGGTGGTACCAGTCCGGCTCACAAGAGAGGAGTGGGCAGCCGCTTCCATCACAGTCGCCGTTTGTCCGTCCACGTGTTTCGACCGGCATTGACTTTTTTGCCATTTCGAGAGGGACCCGGCCGGGTGCGGGTTCAGTCTCTCGGCTCTTGCCGGATGCGGTTTGACCAGCAGGGGTCATAGACGCCTGCCCCCCACCCCCCGGCCCCCCACCCCCCTGCCCCCCACACCCCCTGCCCCCCCCCCCCCCCCCCACCAACCCTGCCCCCCGAGAGTCCTCTGGCACAAGCTTAGCTAAACATTTGGTGCACGTTTTCGTGGTGAATGAGCTTCAGGTGGAGGGGTTAGCGGCCCCTTGTGCCCATCCAGAACTCCCGTTGGCCGCTGTGGTGGGGAGCAGCTGACTGGAATCGGCCTTCCCGCCATAGAATTGTTCACAGACACGACAGCAGTACCCCAGATCCCCTCGTGTCTCTCTCTCTCACCGTGTCTCTCTCTCTCGCCCTGTGTCTCTCTCTCTCGCCCCGTGTCTCTCTCTCGCCCCGTGTCTCTCTCTCGCACCGTGTCTCTCTCTCTCGCACCGTGTCTCTCTCTCGCCCCGTGTCTCTCTCTATCTCTCCAAGTGTCTCTCTCTCTGCCCGTGTCTCTCTCTCACCGTGTCTCTCTCTCCTCGTGTCTCTCTCTCCCCGTGTCTCTCTCTCCCCGTGTCTCTCTCTCCCCGTGTCTCTCTCTCCCCGTGTTTCTCTCTCTCGCCCCGTGTCTCTCTTTCCCCGTGTCTCTCCCGCCCCGTATCTCTCTCTGCCCGTGTCTCTCTCTCCCCGTGTCTCTCTCTCCCCGTGTCTCTCTCTCCCCGTGTCTCTCTCTCTCTCCGTGTCTCTCTCTCCGTGTCTCTCTCGCCCCGTGTCTCTCTCTCCCCATGTCTCTCTCTCGCCCCGTGTCTCTCTCTCTCCCCGTGTCTCTCTCTCGCCCCGTGTCTCTCTCTCGCCCCGTGTCTCTCTCTCGCCCCGTGTCTCTCTCTCACCCCGTGTCTCTCTCTCTCACCCCGTGTCTCTCTCGCCCCGTGTCTCTTTCTCCACGTGTCTATCTCTCTCTCTATGTGTCTCTCTCGCCCCGTGTCTCTCTCTCGCCCCGTGTCTCTCTCGCAGTGTCTCGCTCCGTCCCCTTATCTCCCACGAGTGTCTCTCTCTCTCTCTCTCTTCTTCGAACGCCGGACAAGCCCCTCTCTGTACCATCGTGGACAGCACCACCCCACGTGTTCACCTTCTGAAGCGCTCGCTCGTCAACGTGGCGTGCGCGATGAACACCACCACAACCACCACCACCATCACCACCACAACCACCACCACCATCACCACCATCACCACAACCACCACAACCACCACCACAACCACCACCATAACCACCACCACCACAACCACCACAACCACCACCATCACCACCACCATCACCACAACCACCACAACCACCACCACAACCACCACCATAACCACCACCACCACCACAACCACCACAACCACCACCACCACCATCACTACCACCACCATCACCACAACCACCACAACCACCACCACAACCACCACCATAACCACCACCACAACCACCACCACCAGCACCACAACCACCACCACCATCACCACAACCACAACCACCACCATAACCACCACAACCACCACAACCACCACCACAACCACCACCACAACCACCACCATAACCACCACCACAACCACCACCACCACAACCACCACCACCATCACCACCACAACCACCACCACCATCACCACCATCACCACAACCACCACAACCACCACCACAACCACCACCATAACCACCACCACCACAACCACCACAACCACCACCATCACCACCACCATCACCACAACCACCACAACCACCACCACAACCACCACCATAACCACCACCACCACCACAACCACCACAACCACCACCACCACCATCACTACCACCACCATCACCACAACCACCACAACCACCACCACAACCACCACCATAACCACCACCACAACCACCACCACCATCACCACAACCACCACCACCATCACCACAACCACAACCACCACCATAACCACCACAACCACCACAACCACCACCACAACCACCACCACAACCACCACCATAACCACCACCACAACCACCACCACCACAACCACCACCACCACAACCACAACCACCACCACCACCACAACCACCACCACCATCACAACCACAACCACCACCACCACAACCACCACCACCACAACCACCACCACCACCACGTGACTTTTCTTTCGTGTCGTGCACGGTGCTTTTAGCGCCACAGGGCGTGGATTTGTAACGTTTATTTTGATTTGTGTTCGCTGGTGACTTTGTGTGTTTCATATCGAAATCGGCTCCAGTGCTGTTGATGCTGAATAACTGCCAAATCGCTCTCCGTAGTGCTAGTTTTCTTGCTGTGGTTTTCATACCTGATGATGATGATTGCTTCTTGTGTTGCAGTCGAAACGTCGTGAGAATTTTATTGTTTTATATTTTTTATTATTTTATTGTTTCCCTTCTTCTACGTGGTGGTGACTTTACCGAAAGAACCAAGAATAATAATTGTATTGTTTTATATTTTTATTGTTTTATATTTTATTATTTTATTGTTTCCCTTCTTCTACGTGGTGGTGACTTTACCGAAAGAACCAAGAATAATAATTGTATTGTTTTACAATAATTTTATTGTTTTATATTTTTATTATTTTATTGTTTCCCTTCTACGTGGTGGTGACTTTACCGAAAGAACCAAGAATAATAATTGTATTGTTTTACAATAATTGTATTGTTTTAGATTTTTATTATTTTATTGTTTCCCTAATCTACGTGGTGGTGACTTTACCGAAAGAACCAAGAATAATAATTGTATTGTTTTACAATAATTGTATTGTTTTAGATTTTTATTATTTTATTGTTTCCCTAATCTACGTGGTGGTGACTTTACCGAAATAACCAAGAATATGAATCCCTGCGGTCACGAAAACTTTAAATTAAAAAAAATGCAGTAAAACGTTTTTTAAAAGTCAAAAGACTCTCTCCCTAAATTTCGATTAAAAGCTTTCGTGACCGCAAGGATTCATCTTCTTTGGTTCTTTCGGTAAGTTCACCACCACGTGGAATGAGAATAAAAATAATAAAATAACACGATAAAATTCTCACGACGTTTCGGCCACAACGCAAGCGGCCTTCTTCAGGTGAAAGGTGCAGACCTTCCACTTCAGCACCATGGACCACCACAATACCTGAGCTATTTAAATGCTAAATTACCAGTTGCCTCTGTGAATGTGTAGGTTTTGACTTTAACATAGCCATTTCCGTGACCAGTCACAAGCTAATCACTCAGCTATTTCAATGCTAAATTCTCCTGTTTGATTTGTACTAGTTGCCTCTGTGGATGTGTAGGTTTTAACTTTTAACATAGCTATTTCTGTGACCAGTCACAAGCTAATCACTCAGCTATTTCAATGCTAAATTACTAGTTGCCTCTGTGAATGTGTAGGTTTTGACTTTAACATAGCCATTCCCGTGACCAGTCACAAGCTAATCACTCAGCTATTTCAATGCTAAATTCTCCTGTTTGATTTGTACTAGTTGCCTCTGTGAATGTGTAGGCTTTGACTTTAACATAGCCAGTTCCGTGACCAGTCACAAGCTAATCACTCAGCTATTTCAATGCTAAATTATCCTGTTTGATTTGTACTAGGTGCCTCTGTGGATGTTGTAGGCTTTGACTTTAACATAGCCATTTCTGTGACCAGTCACAAGCTAATCACTCAGCTATTTCAATGTTAAATTATCCTGTTTGATTTGTACTAGGTGCCTCTGTGGATGTGTATGCTTTAACTTTAACATAGCCATTTCTGTGACCAGTCACAAGCTAATCACTCAGCTATTTCAATGCTAAATTCTCCTGTTTGATTTGTACTAGGTGCCTCTGTGGATGTGTAGGTTTTGACTTCAACATAGCCGTTCCCGTGACCAGTCACAAGCTAGTCCATCAGCTATTTGATATGTAAACCCCTTTGTCAAGGTGCCTCACTTCTCCCAACCAGCTTAAAAGTAAGTCGCTACGAATCTTAACAGCGTTCATTGAAGCTCTGTGGATGTGTAGGCCTTTACTTTAACATCTATTTCTGTAACCAGTCACAAGCTAATCCCTTAGCTATTTCAATGCTAAATTACTAGTTGCCTCTGTGGATGTGTAGGCTTTGACTTTAACATAGCCAGTTCCGTGACCAGTCACAAGCTAATCCCTCAGCTATGTGATATGTAAACCCCTTTGTCAAGGTGCCTCACTTCTCCCAACCAGCTTCAGACCGCAGCTCTTTCGCTGGCACTGACTCTTAATACCTCTCACACCACGGTTAATGGTATGGTTTATAACATGGAGTATAACAGCGCCTCGCAGCTGTTTCTCTCTCCTCTCCTTCCTCCTCCGTTCCAACCATGGATGGACTCGTCCGTCTGAACGTAGCTGTCCGTGGTGCTGAAGTGGAAGGTCTGTACCTTTCACCTGAAGACGGCCGCTTGCGTTGTGGCCGAAACGTCGTGAGAATTTAATCGTGTTATTTTATTATTTGTATTCTCATTCTACGTGACCTTACCGAAAGAACCAAGGGAGAAGGCTCTCTCCCTGTATCTGGCCCACGTGTCTCTCTCTGCGTTTCTCTCTCCACATATCTCCTCTGCCTGGGTCTCTCTCTCCCCGTGTCTCTATCTATCTCTTTATCTCTCTCTGTCTCAACGTGTGTATCTCTCTCTGTCTCAATGTGTCTCTATCTATCTCTCTCTGTCTCAATGTGTCTCTATCTCTCTGTCTCAATGTGTGTCTCTCTCTCTCTCTGTCTCAATGTGTCTCTATCTCTCTCTCTGTCTCAATGTGTCTCTCTCTCTGTCTCCCAGTTCAGGACGTCTCTCAACGTGTGTGTCTCTCTCTCTCTGTCTCAATGTGTCTCTGTCTCTGTCTCAATGTGTCTATCTCTCTCTCTGTCTCAATGTGTCTCTATCTCTCTCTCTCTTTGTCTCAATGTGTCTCTATCTCTCTCTCTCTCTGTCTCAATGCGTCTCTATCTCTCTCTCTCTCCGTCTCTATCTCTGTCTCAATGTGTCTCTATCTCTCTCTCTCTGTCTCAATGTGTCTCTATCTCTCTCTCTCTGTCTCAATGTGTCTCTATCTCTCTGTCTCAATGTGTCTCTATCTCTCTCTCTCTGTCTCAATGTGTCTATCTCTCTCTCTGTCTCAATGTGTCTCTATCTCTCTCTCTCTCTGTCTCAATGTGTCTCTATCTCTCTGTCTCAATGTGTCTCTATCTTTCTGTCTCTCTCTGTCTCAATGTGTCTCTCTCTCTCTGTCTCAATGTGTCTCTATCTCTGTCTCAATGTGTCTCTATCTCTCTCTCTCTGTCTCAATGTGTCTCTATCTCTCTGTCTCAATGTGTCTCTATCTCTCTGTCTCTCTCTGTCTCAATGTGTCTATCTCTCTCTCTGTCTCAATGTGTCTCTATCTCTGTCTCAATGTGTCTCTATCTCTCTCTCTCTGTCTCAATGCGTCTCTATCTCTCTCTCTCCGTCTCTATCTCTGTCTCAATGTGTCTCTATCTCTCTCTCTCTGTCTCAATGTGTCTCTATCTCTCTGTCTCAATGTGTCTCTATCTCTCTGTCTCTCTCTGTCTCAATGTGTCTCTCTCTCTCTGTCTCAATGTGTCTCTCTCTCTCTGTCTCAATGTGTCTCTATCTCTGTCTCAATGTGTCTCTATCTCTCTCTGTCTCTGTCTCAATGTGTCTCTATCTCTCTCTCTATCTCTGTCTCAATGTGTGTCTCTCTCTCTCTGTCTCAATGCGTCTCTATCTCTCTCTCTGTCTCAATGTGTCTCTATCTCTCTCTCTCTCTCTGTCTCAATGTGTGTGTCTCTCTGTCTCAATGTGTCTCTATCTCTCTGTCTCAATGTATCTCTCTATCTCTCTCTGTCTCAATGTGTCTCTCTCTCTGTCTCAATGTCTCTCTCTCTCTGTCTCAATGTGTCTCTATCTGTCTCTCTCTGTCTCAATGTGTCTCTCTGTCTCAATGTGTCTCTATCTCTGTCTCAATGTGTCTCTATCTCTCTCTCTCTCTGTCTCAATGCGTCTCTATCTCTCTCTGTCTCTATCTCTGTCTCAATGCGTCTCTATCTCTCTCTGTCTCTATCTCTGTCTCAATGTCTCTCTCTCTCTCTCTCTGTCTCAATGTGTCTCTCTCTCTGTCTCAATGTCTCTCTCTCTCTCTCTGTCTCAATGTGTCTCTCTCTCTGTCTCAATGTCTCTCTCTCTCTGTCTCAATGTGTCTCTATCTGTCTCTCTCTGTCTCAATGTGTCTCTCTGTCTCAATGTGTCTCTATCTCTGTCTCAATGTGTCTCTATCTCTCTCTCTCTCTGTCTCAATGCGTCTCTATCTCTCTCTGTCTCTATCTCTGTCTCAATGCGTCTCTATCTCTCTCTCTCTGTCTCTATCTCTGTCTCAATGTCTCTCTCTCTCTCTGTCTCAATGTGTCTCTCTCTCTGTCTCAATGTGTCTCTCTCTCTGTCTCAATGCGTCTCTATCTCTCTCTCTGTCTCTATCTCTGTCTCAATGTCTCTCTCTCTCTCTCTGTCTCAATGTGTCTCTCTCTCTGTCTCAATGTGTCTCTCTCTCTCTGTCTCAATGCGTCTCTCTCTCTGTCTCAATGTGTCTCTCTCTCTGTCTCAATGCGTCTCTCTCTCTCTGTCTCGCAGTTCAGGACATCTCTGCCCGTGCTATGTTTGGTAATCTGCTGGGCACCCTATGCTGCCCTCTGCCTCTTCGCTTGCGTCCACAACCCACTCGTCATTCCGGCCAAGTTCCGCATGGTGAGCATCGCTCACCACTCGCTCCTCACCACTCGCTCATCTCTCACTCACCCATCACTCTACACTCACTCACCACTCACTCAACCATCACTCACTCACCCATCTCTCACTCACCCATCACTCTACACTCACTCACCCATCACTCTACACTCACTCACCACTCACTCACCCATCACTCACCACTCACTCACCACTCACTCACCACTCACTCACCCATCACTCACTCAACCATCACTCACTCACCCATCTCTCACTCACCCATCACTCTACACTCACTCACCCATCACTCTACACTCACTCACCACTCACTCACCCATCACTCACCACTCACTCACCACTCACCACTCACTCAGCCATCACTCACCACTCACTCACCCATCACTCTACACTCACTCACCACTCACTCACCCATCACTCACCACTCACTCACCACTCACTCACCACTCACTCAGCCATCACTCACCACTCACTCACCCATCACTCACCACTCACTCACCACTCGCTCCTCACCACTCGCTCATCTCTCACTCACCCATCACTCTACACTCACTCACCACTCACTCACCCATCACTCTACACTCACTCAGCACTCACTCACCCATCACTCACTCAACCATCACTCACTCACCCATCTCTCACTCACCCATCACTCTACACTCACTCACCACTCACTCGCCCATCACTCACTCAACCATCACTCACTCACCCTTCACTCACCACTCACTCACCCCTCACTCACCACTCACTCAGCCATCACTCACCACTCACTAACCCATCACTCACCACTCACTCACACATCACTCACTCACCCATCGCTCACCACTCACCACTCACTCACCCATCACTCACTCACCACTCACTCACCACTCACTCACCACTCACTCACCCATCACTCACGACTCAATCACCCATCACTCACCACTCACCCATCACTCACTCACCCATCACTCACCACTCACTCATCACTCACCACTCACTCATCACTCACCACTCACTCACCACTGACTCACTCAGCCATCACTCTACACTCACTCACCACTCACTCACACATCACTCACCACTCACTCACCACTCACTCACCACTCACTCAGCCATCACTCACCACTCACTAACCCATCACTCACCACTCACTCACACATCACTCACTCACCCATCGCTCACCACTCACCACTCACTCACCCATCACTCACTCACCACTCACTCACCACTCACTCACCACTCACTCACCCATCACTCACGACTCAATCACCCATCACTCACCACTCACCCATCACTCACTCACCCATCACTCACCACTCACTCATCACTCACCACTCACTCATCACTCACCACTCACTCACCACTGACTCACTCAGCCATCACTCTACACTCACTCACCACTCACTCACACATCACTCACCACTCACTCACCACTCACTCACCACTCACTCAGCCATCACTCACCACTCACTCACCCATCACTCACCACTCACTCACACATCACTCACTCACCCATCGCTCACCACTCACCACTCACTCACCCATCACTCACTCACCACTCACTCACCACTCACTCACCACTCACTCACCCATCACTCACCACTCACTCACCCATCACTCACCACTCACCCATCACTCACTCACCCATCACTCACCACTCACTCATCACTCACCACTCACTCATCACTCACCACTCACTCACCACTGACTCACTCAGCCATCACTCTACACTCACTCACCACTCACTCACACATCACTCACCACTCACTCACTCATCACTCACCACTCACTCACCACTCACTACTCACTCACCACTCACTCACCCATCACTCACCACTCACTCACCCATCACTCACCACTCACCACTCACCCATCACTCACTCACCCATCACTCACCACTCACCACTCACTCACTCATCACTCACCACTCACTCACCACTCACTACTCACTCACCACTCACTCACCCATCACTCACCACTCACTCACCCATCACTCACCACTCACCACTCACCACTCACTCACCACTCACTCACCCATCACTCACCACTCACTCACCCATCACTCACTCACCCATCACTCTACACTCACCACTCACTCACCACTCACTCACCACTCACTCCCCCATCACTCACCACTCACTCACCACTCACCACTCACTCACACATCACTCACTCACCACTCATTCTACACTCACCACTCACTCAGCCATCACTCACCACTCACTCACCACTCACTCACCACTCACTCACCACTCACTCACCCATCACTCACCACTCACTCACCCATCACTCACCACTCACTCACCCATTACTCACCACTTACTCACCCATCACTCACCACTCACTCACCACTCACCACTCACTCACCACTCACCACTCACTCACACATCACTCACTCACCACTCATTCTACACTCACCACTCACTCAGCCATCACTCACCACTCACTCACCACTCACTCACCACTCACCACTCACTCACCATTCACTCACCCATCACTCACCACTCACTCACTCATCACTCACCACTCACTCACCCATCACTCACCACTCACTCACCCATCACTCACCCACCACTCACTCACCACTCACCACTCACTCACCCATCACTCACCACTCACTCACTCATCACTCACCACTCACTCACCCATCACTCACCACTCACTCACCCATCACTCACCCACCACTCACTCACCCATCACTCACCCATCACTCACCACTCACTCACCCACACACTCATCCATCACTCACCCATCACTCACCCATCACTCACTCACCACTCATTCTACACTCACTCACCCATCACTCACTCACCCATCACTCACCCACACACTCACCCATCACTCACTCATCCATCACTCACCACTCACTCACCCATCACTCACACACTCACCACTCACTCACCCATCACTCACTCACCCATCACTCACCACTCACCACTCACTCACCCATCACTCACTCACCCATCACTCACCCACCACTCACTCACTCACCACTCACTCACCACTCACCCACACACTCACCACTCACCCATCACACACTCTCTGTCTGTCTCACGCTCCATCCCTCTCTCTCCCTCTCTATCTCTCCCTCCTCCATCTCCCCTCCATCTCCCCCTCCCCCCATCTCCTCCCCCCTCCCCCTCTCTCCCCCCTCTCCCCTCCCCCAGATCCCCGCGGTGCTGGCTAAGACTTCTCCCACCGTGAATGCGTTTCTCTATTCGCTGGGCGGCGGGGCCGGGCAGGGATTCCGTGGCTCAGCCTGGACCCTGCTCACGGGCGCCCCCAAGCAGCCGCAGACCCCAGGGCACGGCAAGGACAAATAGTGTCCCTTTAAGAACAAATAGGGCGTTCCTTTAAGAACAGGGGGGGGGGGGTCCATTTAAGACGGATCACCAAAACATCGCGTGTCCCTTTAACAACAACAACACATAGTTGGAGGGGGGTGTCCCTTTAACAACAAACATGGCGTCCCTTTAAGAACAGGGGGGGGGGGGTCCATTTAAGACGGATCACCAAAACATCGCGTGTCCCTTTAACAACAACACACAGTGGGAGGGGGGGTGTCCCTTTAACAACAAACAGGGCTTCCCTTTAAGAACAGGGGGGGTTCATTTAAGACGGATCACCAAAACATCGCGTGTCCCTTTAACACCAAGACGGGGGGTCCTGTATCGCAATGGGTCCCTTTAATAAGCAGGCATCCCTTTAAGAACAGGGGGGCGGGTCCATTTAAGACGGATCACCAAAACATCGCGTGTCCCTTTAACACCAAGACGGGGGTCCTGTATCGCAATGGGTCCCTTTAATACGCAGGCGTCCCTTTAAGAACAGGGGGGTCCCTTTAAGGCAGGTCACCAAAAAAGGCACCCATATTAAGAACACGGTTTCCTTTAAGACTGGAGGGGGGGAGGTCCTTTAAAGACGGGTCACAAAACGAACAGAACAGTTCCCTTTAAGACCAGGGGACACTTTAAGACCGGTCACCAAAATAGGTACCGTTTAAGAGCATGGTTCCCTTTAAGACCAGAAGGTCCGTTCGAGTTTGCCGACGTTGACGCGCTGAAACAGCGCTCTGAAAAAAAAAGGGTCATCGCCCGAAACGTCGCCTGTTATTTTATATCTATTACCGTAGCCTAACCGTGTCCAATTTAACACCACGGTGGTCGATCCCAGTTTCAGCGGTTCTCCCGTAACCCCGCTCTCCCTGTATCCCAACTCTCCTCCCCTAACACGTCCATTGAAGAGACGGAGTAGGTCCTTAATTAGCCCCCCCCCCCCCTATTAATTAGCTAGGGCCCCCCAATCCAAATCTGGCGATCAGCCACTGCTGCTGTTTGGAATAAAGTCTCAGAGTGTAAATCTCTCTCTCGAGGCTCGTCTCACTCTGAGTGGGTGGGTGAGTGGGTGAGTGAGTGAGTGGGTTGGTGAGTGGGTGGGTGGGATGGTGGGTGAGTGGGTGGGTGAGTGGGTGGGTGAGTGGGTGAGTGAGTGAGTGGGTGAGTGGGTGAGTGAGTGAGTGAGTGGGTATGTGGGTGGGTGGGATGGCGGGTGAGTGGGTGGGTGAGTGGGTGGGTGAGTGGGTGAGTGAGTGAGTGGGTGGGTGAGTGGGTGAGTGGGTGGTGAGTGGGTGGTGAGTGGGTGGGTGAGTGAGTTGGTGGGATGGTGGGTGAGTGGGTGGGTGAGTGAGTGGGTAAGTGGGTGAGTGGGTGGGTGAGTGGGTGGGTGAGTAGGTGGGTGAGTGGGTGAGTGAGTGAGTGGGTGAGTGGGTGGGTGAGTGGGTGGGTGGGTGGGTGAGTGGGTGGGTGAGTAGGTGGGTGAGTGGGTGAGTGAGTGAGTGGGTGAGTGGGTGGGTGAGTGGGTGGGTGGGTAAGTGGGTGAGTGAGTGGGTGGGTGAGTGGGTGGGTGAGTGGGTGAGTGAGTGAGTGGGTGAGTGGGTGAGTGAGTGAGTGGGTAGGTGGGTGGGTGGGATGGTGGGTGAGTGGGTGGGTGAGTGGGTGTGTGAGTGGGTGAGTGAGTGAGTGGGTGGGTGGGTGAGTGGGTGGGTGGGTGAGTGGGTGGGTGAGTGGGTGGGTGGGTGGGTGAGTGGGTGGGTGGGTGAGTGGGTGGGTGGGTGAGTGGGTGGGTGGGTGGGTGAGTGGGTGGGTGAGTGGGTGGGTGAGTGAGTGGGTGAGTGGGTGAGTGAGTGGGTGAGTGAGTGGGTGAGTGGGTGGGTGAGTGGGTGGGTGAGTGGGTGAGTGAGTGGGTGGGTGGGGGGGTGAGTGGGTGAGTGAGTGAGTGGGTAGGTGGGTGAGTGGGTGGGTGAGTGGGTGGGTGAGTGAGTTGGTGGGATGGTGGGTGAGTGGGTGGGTGAGTGAGTGGGTAAGTGGGTGAGTGGGTGGGTGAGTGGGTGGGTGAGTAGGTGGGTGAGTGGGTGAGTGAGTGAGTGGGTGAGTGGGTGGGTGAGTGGGTGGGTGGGTAAGTGGGTGAGTGAGTGGGTGGGTGAGTGGGTGGGTGAGTGGGTGAGTGAGTGAGTGGGTGAGTGGGTGAGTGAGTGAGTGAGTGGGTAGGTGGGTGGGTGGGATGGTGGGTGAGTGGGTGGGTGAGTGGGTGTGTGAGTGGGTGAGTGAGTGAGTGGGTGGGTGGGTGAGTGAGTGGGTGGGTGAGTGGGTGGGTGAGTGAGTTGGTGGGATGGTGGGTGAGTGGGTGGGTGAGTGAGTGGGTAAGTGGGTGAGTGGGTGGGTGAGTGGGTGGGTGAGTAGGTGGGTGAGTGGGTGAGTGAGTGAGTTGGTGAGTGGGTGGGTGAGTGGGTGGGTGAGTGGGTGGGTGGGTGAGTGGGTGGGTGAGTGGGTGGGTGGGTGGGTGAGTGGGTGGGTGGGTGTGTGAGTGGGTGGGTGGGTGGGTGAGTGGGTGGGTGAGTGGGTGGGTGAGTGAGTGGGTGAGTGGGTGAGTGAGTGGGTGAGTGGGTGGGTGAGTGGGTGGGTGAGTGGGTGAGTGAGTGGGTGGGTGGGGGGGTGAGTGGGTGAGTGAGTGAGTGGGTGGGTGGGTGGGTGAGTGAGTGGGTGAGTGGGTGGTGAGTGAGTTGGTGGGATGGTGGGTGAGTGGGTGGGTGAGTGAGTGGGTAAGTGGGTGAGTGGGTGGGTGAGTGGGTGGGTGAGTAGGTGGGTGAGTGGGTGAGTGAGTGAGTGGGTGAGTGGGTGGGTGAGTGGGTGGGTGGGTAAGTGGGTGAGTGAGTGAGTGGGTGAGTGGGTGGGTGAGTGGGTGAGTGAGTGAGTGAGTGGGTGAGTGGGTGAGTGGGTGAGTGGGTAGGTGGGTGGGATGGTGGGTGAGTGGGTGGGTGAGTGGGTGTGTGAGTGGGTGAGTGAGTGAGTGAGTGGGTGAGTGGGTGGGTGAGTGGGTGGGTGAGTGAGTTGGTGGGATGGTGGGTGAGTGGGTGGGTGAGTGAGTGGGTAAGTGGGTGAGTGGGTGGGTGAGTGGGTGGGTGAGTAGGTGGGTGAGTGGGTGAGTGAGTGAGTGGGTGAGTGGGTGGGTGAGTGAGTGGGTGGGTAAGTGGGTGAGTGGGTGAGTGGGTGGGTGAGTGGGTGAGTGGGTGGGTGAGTGAGTGGGTGGGTGGGTGAGTGAGTGAGTGAGTGGGTGAGTGGGTGGGTGAGTGGGTGAGTGGGTGAGTGGGTGGGTGAGTGAGTGGGTGGGTGGGTAAGTGGGTGAGTGGGTCGGTGGGTAAGTGGGTGAGTGGGTGTGTGAGTAGGTGGGTGAGTGGGTGAGTGAGTGGGTGGGTGAGTGGGTGAGTGAGTGGGTGGGTGAGTGGGTGAGTGAGTGAGTGGGTGAGTGGGTGAGTGGGTGAGTGAGTAGGTGGGTGAGTGGCTGGGTGAGTGGGTGAGTGGGTGGGTGAGTGAGTGGGTGGGTGGGTAAGTGGGTGAGTGGGTGGGTGAGTAGGTGGGTGAGTGGGTGAGTGGGAAAGTGAGTGGGTGGGTGAGTGGGTGGGTGAGTAGGTGGATGAGTGAGTGAGTGGGTGGGTAGGTAGGTGAGTGGGTGGGTGGGTAGGTAGGTGAGTGGGTGGGTGGGTGGGTGAGTGGGTGGGTGAGTGGGTGGGTGAGTGGGTGGGTGGGTGGGTGGGTGAGTGGGTGGGTGGGTGGGTGAGTGGGTGAGTGAGTGGGTGGCTGAGTGAGTGAGTGGGTGAGTGAGTTGGTGGGTGGGTGAGTGAGCGAGTGGGTCGGTGAGTGAGTGGATGAGTGAGTGGGTGAGTGGGTGGGTGAGTGAGTGGGTGGGTGAGTGGGTGAGTGAGTGAGTGGGTGAGTGGGTGAGTGGGTGGGTGGGTGAGTGGGTGGGGTGAGTGGGTGAGTGGGTGAGTGAGTGGGTGGGTGAGTGGGTGGGTGGGTGAGTGGGTGGGTGAGTGATTGAGTGAGTGGGTGAGTGAGTGAGTTTGTGAGTGGGTGAGTGGGTGGGTGGGTGAGTGGGTGGGTGAGTGATTGAGTGAGTGGGTGAGTGAGTGAGTGAGCGAATGGGTGGGTGGGTGGGTGAGTGAGTGGGTGGGTGAGTGAGTGAGTGGATGAGTGAGTGGGTGAGTGGGTGTGTGGGTGAGTGAGTGAGTGGGTGGGTGAGTGGGTGGGTGAATGAGTGGGTAGGTGGGTGAGTGGGTGGGTGAGTGAGTGAGTGGGTGGGTGGGTGAGTAAGTGAGTGAGTGAGTGGGTGGGTGAGTGAGTGAGTGGGTGGGGGAGTGGGTGAGTGGGTGGGTGAGTGGGTGGGTGAGTGAGTGGGTGGGTGAGTGGGTGAGTGAGTGGGTGAGTGGGTCGGTAAGTGGGTGGGTGAATGGGTGAGTGGGTGAGTGAGTAAGTGAGTGAGTGAGCGAGTGGGTGGGTGGATGAGTGGGTGAGTGGGTGAGTGAGTGGGTGCGTGGGTGGGTGAGTGGGTGGGTGAGTGAGTGGGTGGGTGAGTGAATGGGTGAGTGGGTGATTGAGTGGGTGAGTGGGTGGGTGAGTGGGTGGGTGAGTGGGTGAGTGGGTGAGTGGGTGAGTGAGTGAGTGAGTGACCGAGTGGGTGGGTGGGTGAGTGGGTGAGTGAGTGGGTGGGTGAGTGGTTGAGTGAGTGGGTGGGTAAGTGGGTGAGTGGGTGGGTGAGTAGGTGGGTGAATGGGTGGGTGAGTGGGTGAGTGGGTGGGTGGGTGGGTAGGTGAGTGGGTGGGTGCGTGGGTGGGTGAGTGGGTGTGTGTGCGTGAGTGGGTGGGTGGGTGAGTGAATGAGTGGGTGAGTGAGTGGGTGAGTGGGTGGCTGAGTGAGTGAGTGTGTGGGTGAGTGGGTGGGTGGGTGGGTGAGTGGGTTGGTGGGTGGGTGAGTGAGTGTGTGTGTGCGTGAGTGAGTGGGTGAGTGGGTGAGTGAGTGGGTGAGTGGGTGGGTGAGTGTGTGGGTGAGTGGGTGGGTGGGTGAGTGGGTGAGTGGGTGACTGGGTGGGTGAGTAGGTGGGTGAGTGGGTGGGTGAGTGGGTGAGTGGGTGAGTGAGTGGGTGGGTGAGTGGGTGGGTGAGTAGGTGGGTGAGTGAGTGAGTGGGTGGGTAGGTAGGTGAGTGGGTGGGTGGGTTAGTGAGTGGGTGGGTGAGTGAGTGAGTGAGTGGGTGGCTGAGTGAGTGAGTGTGTGGGTGAGTGAGTGAGTGAGTAGGTGAGTGATTGGGTGGGTAGGTGAGTGGGTGGGTGGGTGAGTGGGTGGGTGAGTGGGTGGGTGGGTGAGTGTGTGTGTGCGTGAGTGGGTGGGTGAGTGAGTGAGTGGGTGAGTGAGTGGGTGAGTGGGTGGCTGAGTGAGTGTGTGGGTGGGTGGGTGAGTGGGTGGGTGGGTGGGTAAGTGGGTGGGTGTGTGGGTGAGTGGGTGAGTAAGTGGGTTAGTGGGTGAGTGAGTGAGTGGGTGAGTGAGTGAGTGGGTGAGTGAGTGAGTGGGGGAGTGAGTGAGTAGGTGGATGAGTGAGCGCGTGAATGGACGTGTAGTGTCAGTGAGACGACGACGAGGCACCTTCTCTATTAAACAACTTCCACCGTCTCATGTTCACACTCTGCACAGTCGCTTGGCCCTGCCTCTAGACAATACCTCACCGTCAATCACTGACGGCGCCGACTGAGATCTAGCGAAGACGGCGACGAAGCAACTCCTATTTTTTTATATTTTTTTGGGATTATTCACACGCTTTTATTTAACTCACATCCTTAAAAATAAAAAAAATATTGTAACCCAATTATTTTTTACCCGCTTCCCAATGTCGTATCGACTGCAGACTTCTCCTTCTTTGGTTCTTTCGGTAAAGTCGCCACCACGTAGAATGAGAATAAAATAAAATAATAAGTTTTCTTGTGGTTGTTGTTGTAGTACGGAGTTAGACTGACGGCCTTAATCTAAGTTTTCTTGTGGT